TGTATTTATATTTTATCGTAGAGAATTAAACTAGGGATGTACCGAGCTCGAGCCCTGACCAAGCCTCTCGGGCTCGGTCAGGCTCGGGTGTGGATGAGAGTGAGAGTGTGTGGTGTGATGAGTGCGGGTACTATCTTTTTCACTCACACTCTCACCCACACTAACCCACTCCCATACCGATTCTGATACTCGAGTCCTGACCGAGCCCGAACCTAACCGAGTTCGAGAGGCTCGGTACATCCCTAAATTAAACTAAAAAGTTTTATAGGATAAGAGCAACTATTTGTATTGTGTCCTCTGCAATTCTATAATTAACATATATACTGAAATCGAATTTCTTCTTCTGAAATAGTGCTTAGGTACTGTCAAGATTCGAAATTTTTTATTAATATTGATTACCGATAGATAAAATATGCAAGAAAAGAGAGAATAGTTATCTGTTATCATTTGAGATCAATTTTTCATATCGAAGTTAAATGTTTATTATATTTTTTAGGAAAATTAGGGAATCTTGATCAAGCTGAAAAAATCTTTAATTCAATGTCTAAACATAATATTGTTTCATACAATATATTATTGAATTTATATGGTCTATATTATCAATCAGATAAAGCTTTAAAAACTTATCATCAGATGTGTCAACAAGGTCATCAACCAGATGATAAAACATACGTTCTACTTATTCATACATTAAGTCAAACACCAAATAAAATTAATGATGTTAAACGAATATTTTCAACTATTGAAGAACATAAACGTGGACCTATGGTAACAGCAGCTATGATTGCTGCGTTAACTCGAGCACAATTATTTGATGAAGTTAATGATTTATTTAAAAAATTACCAAAAGAAAATATTTTATTCTATGCAATGAAAGCAAATAGTAATGAAACGAATGAAAAATTTCATTATCCAATATCAATAACAAATGAACAATTAGCATTGTATGATTTATTAATGAGTAATATTTATACATATGCTGGTTTACATGATCGATTAACAAATGTCGATGAAATTTTATATGAGAATAAAATATTAAAAGATCGTTTATCATATTCTTGGTTTGAAAAATCAAATGGAAAAATTGAATATTTCAAAAGTGAACAATTACAATTAAAAACATGTGAACATACAGAAAAACTTGCACTTGTAAATGCTTTAGATGAACAGAAGAATAGTTCATCACCTATCCTTATTGGAAAAAATCATCGAACATGTACTGAATGTCATGATTACTTTAAAAAAGTTTCTTTGTCTTCTTCTCAAAAAAAAATTTATTTACGTGATTCAACTCGTTTTCATATATTTTCAAATGGTACTTGTTCGTGTGAAATTTCTTCGTGAAATGTTTGTTTTTCATTCTGATCCTATACACCTGTCAAAAAAGTACGATTACTGATATTCTAAACATTTTTTTTTTGTTTCAGATATTTTATGAATGATTAATGATTAAAAATAGTAGCAACATGCAATATGTTACTAAAAATTCGAATCAACCACGTACTCCAACAGAATTAACAAATAATATTTTGCCAGCTTATAAATCTGGTTGGCTTTATAAACGAGGTATTTATAGAAAAAAAAGATTTAGTGCAAAAATCTTTAACTCTGACATCAGTCATTGTTCAGAAAGCACGATATTTAGTTTTGATTGATACGAAGAAAGAGAAGATCACGTATACGTTATGATGCATAACTAGAGATGTGCGAGACCAAATTTTCATAGTTCCGGTCCCGGTGGTCGTGACCGGAGGGAATTGACAAATGTCCTACTGGCGAAAGTCTTATTGGCGAAGGGATACTAAGCCGATCGAAGCTGGTCCAGCACCGGACATGACCCAAACCCAAACTGTTTGAGTTTGGGTATTGAGTTTAGGTATGGGTTTGGATTTAAGTTTGGGTTTGAGTGTTGTCTATCCCGCACATCTCTAGTTATAATACTTTTGCATATGGTACTATATTTGATTTTTTTATCGATCATTTTTATTCTAAATAATACTTAAAACATTGAAACGAAATATTTATATAAACTAATCTTTATATGAATATTTAATTTATTATCTTTTAAGGTGAACATATAAAAACTTGGCGTCCACGTTATTTTGTTCTATTTCATGATGGACTTTTATATGGATATAGAAAACCACCAGCTGCAAATGATAATCAACAAGAAGAACCACTTAATAAATTTCAAGTTATTGATTGTACTGTTGTTCGACAAGACAAAATAAAACAAAATGCTTTTGTTATACATTTTAATCAAATGAAAATAGAACGATTATTTGCTGCAAGTAGTCAACAAGATCGGTATATAAATATTTTTCTCTACTCTTTCTTCTTTTTCTATAAAATTTTTATAAATATTTAGTGAAGAATGGGTAACTGCAATTGAAATAATTACTCGACAAACAACTCCTCATTTACAACATCAATTACCAACTATGAAAATGGTTACTAATGATAATGCAAATAATGTTGAGAATGAATATCCTGCAATGAATGAAATATTTACACGACGACCGGTAAGATAAAAATCAATCATAAATACAAAAATTAATATTTTTGTTTTCTACAAAAAAGCAAATAAATGATTTTGAATATTTAAAAATACTTGGTCGTGGTACATTTGGTAAAGTAGTTTTATGTCGTGAGCGAACAACGCAACGAATATTTGCAATGAAAATGTTACGTAAAAGTCTTGTTGTAACAAATGTAAGAAGAAGAAAAATTCTTTTAAATTGTTTATTTATATTCATATATCTAGAATGAAGTTATACATACAATGGGTGAGAATGAAATTTTACGTCGTATTCGACATCCATTTATTACAGTAATTTAAAATTTTTTATTATTTTGTACAAAATTTCTATCAAATTAAAATAGAATTTAATATGTGCATTCACAACAAGTGATCGTCTTTGTCTTGTTATGGAATGTGTTAATGGTGGTGAATTATTTTTTCATTTAAATCGTGAAAAACGTTTTACAGAAGAACGTACAAGATTTTATATATCAGAAATATGTTGTGTTATTGGTTATTTACATTCCAGAAAAGTTATTTATCGTGATATTAAAGTAAGAGAACGAAATCAAATTTCATATTTTCATATATTTATTTAGTTGGAAAATATTCTACTCGATCGTTTTGGTCATATTAAATTAGTTGATTTTGGTTTATGTAAAATCAATGTTCCATTTGGACAAACAACTGCGACATTTTGTGGTACACCACAATATATTGCACCGGAGGTATTATAGAATGAATTACTAATGTTATTCATTTATATTGAGTGCAGGATGTACGCTTAGATGAAGAAATTGTTTTCATCAAGAGTGACTTTAATTCTCGGAAATTTGGATGAATAGATCATTAAAACTAAACCCTGAGGTGGTATTTTGAAATTGAATAGATAAACTCTTCAAATATGACAACATTAGCTCTAATGATGGTTTCCGAACGTTTTCATATATTTTTAAGAGGCTTTGTCATAGATCAACTATAC